CAGTGTGTGGCCCACTTGGGGACAATTACTCCTGGCCGCGGCTAAGTGGACACTTGATTGAACACGACAGTGCTGGGAATGCGCCATCCCTATAGATAACAATTCTAAGGACCATTTAGGATAAAAAGCCCTTGTGATACGCGCCTTTATGGCCCAAATTCATCTTTCTTTGCGCTTTTAAAAAAGAATGCTGGCAGTGTGATCGAGGGGTTATTCTCTGGGCAGAAGGAAGAGAAACATTAGAGAGACCTTACATCCTTTGATGCTTTCAGAGAGATCACACAAGAGCAAATACAAGGTGAGGGGGTTGCTCGAGGAATCCATGAGATGGTTTATCTCAGTTTAGAAGATTGTTTCCCTTATCACGCTGAGCCTGTTAATATGTTTTGATTGTTTTGTTTGGGTTTATAGTCGATTGCAAGCAGCGATATAATTAAATTCCAAAGGAGAATCCGCAGCATTAAAATTTTGATAATTGAGGTAATATGCACATCCAATTATTGCTGTTATTTGTAAGGTGCTAAAACAATCAATTTTACTGCCTGTAAAAAAAAAACTCTTTGGCTTGACTTTTACACGCTGGCATCTTACAGTACAGAGGAGTGATTGCAAAATCGAATGCAAACGGACAGATTCAAACCTCTCTCCAATTTGCCGCTTGTTTAGAAAAGCCCAAACTGGACCACTTTCTAGACAGCCAACTTTATTATACTACAATTTCTCTTTTTCTAACTGAATTTTAATGCACACCAATGCAACAAACCAACAAATATATCTCCACCTACATGCTCTCTTTCTTTTTTGAAAAAGCAGACTTTCAATAAACTGTTAAAACAAGATTACTAAATTGGCTCCCTTTCAATTCATTAGTTGGAATTTTAAATAAACTACATGAAGTTCAACTGAAACTTGTTTGAAATAAAGAGGAATTTACTGAATTGTAAAGGAAAGAAAATCAACACATGTAATGCATTCTTGAAAATGAAGTGTTCTTCCATCCTGGTCCAACTATTTATTAAATATGATGTGATATAAACTAAATACAAATCCATCTATTTCAACATTCAAATTTAAATTGCAATTCTGCAGTTCAAACCTTTGTATTTAAGGGATTTAAATGCAACCGAAAATGTTCTGTTTGTAAAACTATAACGTTACAAAATGTAACAGGCTGCCAATGGGGTAAAAATTGTGATATGCAGTTTGAGCGTTTGTTTAGTAAAAAGCATGAGAAATGAAAACAAGGTCTTTGGGTTGTTGTAAGCTGAGCTTGTATTGTGAGGGTTTCGGGCCTATGGATTGTTGGATTGTTTACTTAAGTCTTGGCAGCAGAAAATCATCTCCACATTGTCCTGCTCCTGCTGTCGGCTCGGGCAGCATCGATTGCAGCTGTAGCATGTTAGGGAGATGCAGAGGACACAGTTCTAGGGGTGACCCCGAATAGTCGAAGATTCGATGCTTCGATAGGAGGAGCCTGATTCGACTACCAATCTCACGGTCGAATCTTCGCAGATGTGTTATTAAACGTGGATTATGTCATTTTGGCTATATGAGTGTGCTCAATGTCTGATTTCACATAGAACTACTGGTTTTCTGTCAATATGTTAATATACAGCCTATTATGATAATGCTGTCGATACAAATGTGCAAAGAAAGAAGCTTTTATTAAATATTTTTTAACGTGCGAGCAGCGTGAATAATTCCAAACACCCCGTGACAGATTTAGTTTCACTTTCGATCCGTGACCGACAGAGGAGCGTCTTGTCGGCAGGGATTTAAATCTTTAAAAATGTCTGGGATAAGACAATCTAAAGATGCACACCATCAGAAAGGATACTCTCCAAGGCTGGATTTAGCATCAGGAAAACCATGATCGCACTTCTGCGGCCAACGTTAACAGGTTGGTTTTCCTCGGGACATTCTAAAACGCTTAACGTGAAAAAAGCTTTTAAAACGCTTAAATGGCACTTTTACGTGCTTAATGTATGTACACAGTAGGCTACACACCTTAAGAAACCATTCTATGTGCAGATAAGCAGATGAACCCAGAATATGAACGCAACGCGTTTCTCCTATTGAAAGTCACGTAAAGCTTTTCTTTAACGGTTTTCTATGGTAGGAAAATGCTTAACGTAGCCTATAATAAAACGCGTTGCGTTCATATTCTGGGCTCATCTGCTTTTCTGTAGGCTATATATAGTATGCTTTATTAATATAAGGTGTGTACAGAATTTGATCTTTTAATATAACAGTTTAAGGACAAAGCCGTTAAGCGTTTTTCACGTTAAGCGTTTTAGAATGTATTTTATCCGCGCACAAAATTTGAAAAGACTCAAACAGACACAGGCCGAGTGAAAGACTGGATTTTGTTTTTTCGATCAGTTATGTATGGGTAGTGATTTCAAAACATTTCAGCCGGTTCTACTTTGATTTTTGGATACTGTGAGTGTGAACACGTTTAGCTAAAAAGACTGCCGCTCCAGTTTAGCGTTTATTGTTGTTTCTGCAGTTAAAAAGACAAAGTTGACAATCCTGGCCATACTTTCGTTATTTTAATAATTTCTTTATTTTTATTTTATTAATTGATCACTCAGGGTGATCTAATTTAACTAGCCTATTTGTGACTTGTGTTTTGAATATTTGTTCCCCTGCACTTTAGGCATTTTGCACACATTTGTTCTGCTTCTTGTGACTTGATTCTGACTTATTTCGTTTTGTATTTTTATTTATTATAAATGTATATTATGTTCTTAATTTGTGATTATTTTTCAGTGCATCGATGTTGCGCTGTAGGCCTACTTAGAGCATGCTCGTACAGGCAATTCAGCCGATTTAATTTGATTTGCATGTGAAATGCAAATCCTATCTGAAGTGTGGCCTTTCTGCAGTTATTTATGTTATTTCTCAGTTTTATTGATCGAAAATGTTTTTACACATTTTCTTCTATATCTTTGTGTGGTGTTCTGTACATCGCGGCTTTAAAATGTTAAAGCCCCGCCCCCTCCCCAACACCACACACATGATTCGACTATTAGTCGACTATAGGCAGGACTTGACGAATCTGATTCGACTATGAAAATCCTTAGTCGGGGACACCCCTACACAGTTCACTTAGGTTTTGACAAATTTTGAGAATGATAAGAGATTTCTGTAACACTTCTTTTTTGTATATTTTCCAGGCAAAGCATTGCCAATATTAGCATAGTACCATTTCAATTTTGTTTGTCAATAAGGATATTAAAACATGACTGATGTACAGTAAAACAGACAAACAACACTGTTAATATAGTGACCAAATTCAACAAAGACGTATATCGCACTGTCCGGCATAAAAGCCGTGGCCTTTACCCAATATTTCACTGGGAACATTTCGTACAATCTGACAAGCAACAATTGTAAAAGACCGAAAAAAACAGCAGACACCCATAGTGCGGCCCGCCTACACGCCATGAAGTGTAAAAGTGTGGCAGAAAATAAAAGAGGTTGGGTTGCAAGGTGAAAGTGAGAAAAGGATAGACAAAGCAGAAAGACAGGGAAAGAAAAAGAGAGAGGAATAAATAGGTATCGAAAGGGGATGCCGATGGAGTGAAAAGAGAGAAAACACCATGGCATTGTCTTCCACACCTCCTAAAATAGAATTTTGTTCAAAAAGACTATAGAGCGAGAGGAAAAAAAAAAATCACTTATCCAAGTGCCCACTGGACTATCCCATTACCACAAGAGCCCAACTACAGACATTTCCCTTTACCACAGCTCGCGCAAAGCCGAGACACTTGGAAGTGATGTACTTGCAAAAGGAAGCGAGCTGAGGAAGCAAGCGTCTCCTCTTTTACCTCTCTCCCCTCCGCCCTCATTAACTGGGCTCCTTTCCAATTCATTTAGGAAGCCCCGAGAGCCTGCCTTCCCCTGGAATTTACCGAAATGACACAACATTAGCAGATTTGCATATGCAAAACGGGTCAAGCAACAGGCACTCGCTGCTCAATTGACCTATTGCTTGTTGTGGCAAGCCGAGTTATTCCCGCGGAACAATTCTGTAACCAAGTGGGCGTCATGCGAGTGCCATCTGGGTAACACTTATTTAAGGCTGGCAGAAGTCCCGTGGCAGCCCGCCTGGCGAGGAGGAGGAAAAGGGGAATAAATTGCATCATTTACTTGACATCCATTTGCCGTCGTGCCCGTTTAAAACCCATGACTAAATAATTTGGTTATTCGACAGCCAGTTACCACTGTCATCCAAATGGTGCGGTGCACGCGACAAACAGCAAGACTGTCAAACGCACTGATAAAGGACAGGCCTGTGATGTTTAACCATGCCAAAATGCATAGCATATTTACATCAGGCAATCTATTTTTACAAAAGACTTTTGTTACTGAATTATGACAACAAACACATTTTTATCCAAGCAAGCGGTTCTGAATAAACCAGGTGTTAATTATGTTACGGGTTTGAAGGACCATCTAAACTTAAGGAGAATAGTAGTTCTCAAGAATGATAACTTCAGATGTCATATATTTTATGCTTCAGAATTCATTTGTATGAAATTTAATTGAAATTGAATGTTTGTATTATTTTGTGAAGCGACTTTGGGTTCTTGAAAGGCGCTATAAAAAATAAACATTATTATTGCTTTGTTGCATTTAAAGTTGATTGTTGAAGGTGTACTCCATTTTTACTGCTAGTTCTGCTGATTGTTTAGAGTGTTTTAATGCAAAACTGTGACACATAGACCAAAATGGGTTATTAATAGCTGATTGGGGTGATCAATTGCCCATATAATGCAAATATAATGTAGGCCCTATATGTAATAATTAAAAAAAAAAATATATATATATATATATATATATGATCTCAAAATATATAAATATGGGCTGATATTATCAGTGGTGACCAAAAAAGAAAAAAAAAAAGTGTGGAAAAAAGGCCATTTAAGTAGCACTACAATCCATTTTTAATAAAAAAGAGCTTGTGTAACAAGAATAAGTATGAAGTTTCTTACTGTTTCAGTAGGTAAATTGGCAGGTGATTGTAGACTGTATGCTTAAATCCCTTCAGTCTCGTTGAGGTGTCTGAAACCACAAATATACAACCATCAACAGTCAATGTTGCAGGACAGAGGAATATATGATTTTTTTATGACTTTAGCATCAATCAAGAAAGAAAAAAAAAGGTTCCACAATCTGAATTCAATTTAGGTTGACATTTGTTTTTGAATATGGATCAATTTTTCATTAATCAAAGTGTAATTTGCTCTAACCATTACACTAAATCATAGCAAAAAAAAAAAAAAGGTGTATTGTACCAATAAACTGCAAGTGATAAACCCTCCTGAAAGTATCCATTTAATCACTGTAAACAATTGTATATCAAGTACACAGAAATGCACTCAAAATTCCTTTCTCGCAGCTCTATGATATTAAATCAAAAGATTGATTCTCTCATTTTCGAGCTTTGAGGTTCACTCGGCATTGGCCAATTGATCAATCCACGCTTCTGAAGATCGTACATTATGCTCATTCATAACATCAAAATGCTTTTAGAGAAATATCCAGTAATCCCCAAGTACATTTCTCAGCCCTCTTTCTCAACACTTCGCTCTGCACTAGAAAAACAAAGAACCAACAAATGGTGCTTCATTGTTACAGAGTTTGATTTTTTCTTTAGAGCTTGGATATAACCACCTGTTTGACAAAGTACAGATTTTTGTCAGGAACTTTCTGGACCTGAGATAAATGTTGTCATAGCACTTTAGTAAACATTTCAATTCGTCTGGGTAATCTGGCGCACAAGGAGCAAAACCCCCTGGCAACTCGTGGATATAACAGCGAGTCAGTGTGTTTTCTAGCCTTGAGAGCACGTCAAGCACAGATTGGGCTGCATCCAAGAGCATCTTTCAAACAGCTTCTTGAAGTGAGGTTACAATGACTCAAAATGCTTCACTTTCAGTTGGTTTCTCAAAGCGGCAAGCAAAAAAGGCCGTACGTGAGCGCTTTCATGTGAATGAGCCAGGTTTGCTACCGAGTTGAGCGTTTAAGATAATTACCATGCTTTCATAATGATCCATCAGATGAGACCTTACATATCAAATAAACAAGCAACACGTCAATTAAGACCACCAGAATTGCTTCGAAGTTCAAACCAGCAAATAGGCCACATTTTGGTATAAACACACATACATACAGTTGTAAACAGAAGATCAAAGAAAAGTTCCATCGGGTTTTTTTTTTCTCCTTTGAATTCATTTGAACATTCGATTGGAAAAAAAGAAACCTTCTCGCAAAACTAATTACCATGCAAGCTATGATAAGGTAATTAGTACTCGAGCCGGTTTCCTGATTAAACATACTCTAATTGAGAGCATGCTGCTATTGAGAGGGAGGAAAAACTCGATTCCCTTGGAGGGCACTTAAACGATGTCCCTTTAACAAACACGTAAGCAGAGACAAAACGTCTCAAAGGCTGAGACAAACGCACATTAATTACCAGTCAACAATATCGGCATCTACTCTATCCTTTTCCAAATATGTTTCTCCTCTGTTTTGAAAGTATTCTTCAAGCGTTGTAAATAATTTTCAGAACTTGTTACTCTGATGGCTTGGCAAGTGGTAAAGTCTTCAAGTTAAAAAAATTATTATAATAATAATATTATTATAAAATATTATTATTAAAATAAAATATTATATATTCGTAAAATATAAAAACATACATATAAATCTAAATATATATTTTCTAACATAGTCTATAATAATATCCATTCATCATATTTCCTTTGGAGCAAATATGAACTATACTGGCCCTGATGTATGGATCTGAGATCATACCAAAGTCAAGAGCCAACAATGTGAAAAAGTTTTGAATGTCTAACGTGTCATGATAAGGCAACCAGTGACGTTTAGATTTATCATATACATTTCTGTTATTTAGTGCAGCAACACTGCTCTGATTTCAGAAGTGCAAAAGAGGTTGATGTGTAAATTCTGAACTGACTCGGTGTGAAAACTGGTGTGAAGGTCTCCACAGCCAGCTGAGTTCAGTTTCTGTACTAGTGCATGTCTAACATCTTTTGATCATGTGCATGTGTTTTTATGCATTGTAAACAAACACATTTTAATTTCTGCAATGTTAAAAAAAACATTGCTGTTGTGAAATCTGCTAATTATATATGTCGCCAAGATGATCTTTTCAACCTTATAAAGTTTTTATCAAAATTGAGTTTGATCATAGCAGATAAAATGGGTTGAAAATTATCTTGAAAAAAGAAATGTGTCAACCGGCAGAGATTTTGGACTATCGTCTCTATTGCGGTTGTGCTGCACCGTCATGAAAGCGATTTGAATCTGTTTTTAAGCCTTGCGCTTTAAAAACCATTGATTTTAAACCTTTCAAGCGCAATAAGCAGCGAAAAAGGGACTCATTTGGTATATCAGACGAGAATGCTGAAATGCTGGCACAAACTGAATTCTTTTCGGTGCCTTATTGGGCTTGAATGGTCAAAAACACACACGTATGTGTCAAAATGCCGATCTTTGTGAGTATCCTTGTAAACACCGTCATTTATGTCTTAAGTGAAAGCAAACAGTTGAGAAAGAAAACACTTGTGTCTTAGGGTGACCACCTGTCCCGCATTTTACAGTTGTAGCTAGAGTGGTTTAGCCTGACTACGTCAGACTTCGTATTTCATTTCGCTTCTGTACTCAGTCTGAGACAGCGGCCTATCTATCCGTTTTCCTCCGGCCTGAAAACAGCCGGCCAATCAACGAACAGAGGGCGGGCTGAAAGCCGTGACGTAGTCGCTAAGCGCCGAGTTTAAGATTAGGTCAGAGAAATCGAAAACGACCGCGGATATGGAGACGCGGATGCAATTCGCTCAGTTGTGGAGAATATTCCTGGCATTAGCAAACTGAAGCCCGAACAAGAAGAGTGTGTATTAAACATTTTGAATTGAGGTGATGTTGTGGCCATACTCCCTTTGGGAAAAGTTTGATTTATCAACTATTACCGATCGTCAGCGAGAAACTGGGGAGCCTTTTGACAGGTCAGTGTCTCCTTTCTTTTCCAGGTCTTAAATATTGCCATGACATGCTGTAATCTTGCAATTAAAGCAGCACTAAGTAGGAGTTCCATTTTTGTCAAACAGCGACCCCTAGAGTCGCTGTGGAGTACTTGTACTGTCGTGAATAGCACTCACGCATAGGGGTGTGCCGGTTTCAGAATTGGTGATGACGGTTATGACGTGAGTCAAATGTGACGGTTCGTAACATAACCGTCGTGGGGGGGGGGGGCTTGAATAACTGTTCGTCTGTTATAGGACAACTTAGTTTGAATAAACAAGCAGACACGGATTAGCTACTGGCTCTACGTTTATTTAACATGAACAGCAAGACAACTAGAAGTGAATGTGCTTTCCATTAAATGTATCACACAGTAAACAAATCCTTAACTAACAAAACAAACAAACGTTGCAATGAACGTGCTTTTTTTTAAATAAATCACACACAGTAAACAAAACCTTAACGAAAAAACTTTGGAATGAACTTTGCAATTTAGGCGCGCAAACTGCGTGCCGGTGCGGTGAGACGTGCATGCTCGGGTAGATTCGGCTTGAAGTCGGTCATCCTCGGACGCGGCGCCGCGCGCGCTGTTTAAAAAAAAAGCCGTGCACACAGCCAAGCCAAATGGGGTCTTGCCGGTCTTGCGCACCGAACGCGTCATTTTTGCCGCGCGCACCTTCGCGATCGTGAGGACGCGTCGAGTATAAACAAGGCTTTACTCCGTGTCAGCGCGCGCTCTGATCGGTAAAGGTGCACAGACCTCTCCCGAATCATCTCCAGCAGTAGCAGCCTCCGTTTCCCTCTTAAGCTGATATTAGTATTTAAACATTCTCTATGATAAAAAATGTTTGTAAAAATTACAAGTTTTGGCGGTTATAGAGTTCTAATGACGGTGTTCAACTATAACCGTCGGTCTCACGATTATATAATAACCGTCACACCCCTGCTCACGCAGAGATGGCTCGCACTCACGGCCAGATCCCGTCCCCCTGTACACCGGTACCTGTTCAGTAGGATGGACGCTGTAACGAGTGGAAATAAGGTATGGCCCCTTTAAGAGCTGCGCGCGCCCAACACCACATGTATACGGCGCCGAGTTATTTCTGTTTGATGCTCATTTTATCAGAATTTTATCAGATCTGTTTTTTGCCGTAAAGCAATTCGTTACCTCGCGAGACCTGATATCACACGATACTTCCTAACATTGAGGCCGGCGGCTCGCCGGCCCAAAGTTGCAAGGGTGGTTTTGCGGCTCACAAGCACCAGGGGGGTGCGAGACGACCACCATTCAACACGAAATCAGTAATATAAACATTACAATGACTCCAAAGCTGTTCGGTTAAGTTAAAAAAGTTACTTATTTCACCTTTAAGTTGCAGCATTTCCGACAGACTCGAGATGAACAAAGAGCTGTGTTTAACAGAACTAATCCTAACTTTGACAGTTGGCTGCAAATATTTTTTTGTTTCTCTCTACGGTCAAATATCAGTTTAGAGGCCCTGATTGTACCGCGGATGCGTAGATTAACTTAGCATAATCTGCAAAAGTCGTTTACAGCCATGTTCACTCCGGTATTTCGCTCGCATCATCAAGTGTTTACAGCAGGTTTACAGTGGAAGTTCGATCATAGATTTGAGTTTGATGCATGATGTCTGTGGTTCGATGCGGCTGTGTTGGCACATAACATATATAAACTTATCTGATTGGCTTACGGGTAACCAATGATTTTAAACTTCAGACAAGCGCCCCCTAGCGAGAGAGAAAACACTTCTCTATTATGCCATTCCAGACTCTGTCTACGAAGCAAAGTGAAGTAGCAGAGTCTGGTATTACCAGGCTAAGAGTGGTAGTGTGACTACGTAAATACCACATTGGACCTCTCCAGACACGTCAGCACACCCGCCATCTTGGAATGGTCGGCGTGTCGTCAAAATCAATGATGCCACAACATTGCACAGCTTCTAGTTGTGAAACCGCTGAGATTTAAATTCCCGTAGAAATTATTTTTACTTATGTTAGTAAGGCTAGTATTAGTTTTTTCGTGATTGGTGATGAGATTTATGAAATATCAACTTTCGATATCATAATTTTGAAGCAAAAATAACTATATCGTCATATATCATTATCGTAAACTAAAATTACTCTTAACGTGATATAAGATTTTGGTCATATCACCCAGCCCCAACTAATTTTATTAAAAAAATAAAATTAAAACCAATTAATTCATTTCTATGGGTACAAATGCAAGAGTTCTGCTCGACTGGTTTAGCCAGTAGTTCAGAATCAGATATTATAAAATACTCACACAAGAAATGAAAACCACTGTATGCAGTTCTTGCATACTGAAGCTTTTCCGGCTGTTTCTTTCTGAACTCTATCAATAGCAATGCCAATTTTTGCAAAGAAAAAATGCTGGAAAGTGGAAAGACTTCTTGCACATTATGCATGACAAATGTCAACAAATGCAATGATTTGAATTCCTGGAAAGAACAGCATTTATATTGCTTAAGGATTCAGAAATTCAGGCATTGGCTGCTGCTCTTCAGCTCTTCAGGGCTAGATCAGTGAGAAACTGATCCAACGAGCTGATCCCAGCTCAGCTGTCAACTTCACAGCTGGCATAAAGGGACTTGTGAGTATCACACCATTTCAACATTTAATCCAGCCTTTAATCCGATCCATTTGGATTTACAATCCAATAAAAGGACATACAAGATGACTATACAGCTAGAAGTCAACCATTTCGATGTTAACAACAAATCAGTGACCTTCTCTTTACTGTACATTGATCACTAAACCCTTTTTGCATGGATTCAAACTCTTTTCATTCAATTTTAGTACATTGTTTTGAATATAAATACACTACTACCAGTCATACATTTGGACAGAAGTAAATTAATTTAAGTTTCACATCATCGTAAAAAAAACATTTGATCTAAAGGCTCATGCTTACATTTAAAAAAAAAAAAAAAAAAAAAAAAACTTTGGCAGATAAATGTGATTGATGCTAAATATGAAAATAATTGCATTAGTTGGTACAAATATTGAAGGAAAAGCAGCTGTCAATTGTCCAGGATAAATAGAAACACCAATTTGATGACTCTTATACATTTAAAAAATAAAAAATAATAATTGTCACTTATAATCCCATGATGTTTATAGTTTTAATAATTTTACTATTATTCTAAATTGTGAACAAGTAAATACATAAATGTGTTCAATATTTTGACTGGTAGCCTATATAGTGAAAGAAAGAAAGAAAGAAAGAAAGAAAGAAAGAAAGAAAGAAAGAAAGAAAGAAAGAAAGAAAGAAAGAAAGAAAGAAAGAAAGAAAGAAAGAAAGAAAGAAAGAAAGAAAGAAAGAAAGAAAGAAAGAAAGAAAGAAAGAAAGAAAGAATCACATTTTCACCCAAAAACTTGTTTGAATTCACAAGGTATATAAGATATTTAAAAACGGAATATATAATTATAATTTTTAATGGCCTGCAAGTACACAACTGATAAACTACCTGGATTCCTCAGTGTGACTTTGAGGTGACAACAACAACAAGCTATAATTAACTTATAAAAAAAACTTATTGCCGCACGTTGACAGCGTTCAGAGTTGCCATAGAAACAAGAACCTGGCTGCATCCTCACCCTAAGCCGTCCAGCAACTGGCCAACGGCCTGGCTTCTCTAGCCGGGCAACCCAGCATGAAAGCCACACGCTATAGAGAGACAACAGCTGCCCGAACACACAGCAAGACACGGGACGCAGCAACCTCTATCCCGCGTTATGATTCAGACATCACAACTTCATGCATTATTCGGTGAGCTGTCTTTAACCTCTACGATTCTCAGATTACAGTTCATACACTTTACCTCAGTGAAGATGTTAATAACCTTTCTGTGCCGTAACCACCACACACATCTGACTCATCACGATCTTCTAAACGATTGCGAGTAAATCTGAAAATACTAGCTTTGGAATAAAAAATGTGCACGCCTTTCCTGTAATACCATGACGGAGTAACATTACGCACAATCTATTTTTGGAATCTGAAAAAGTATATATGGGGAAAGAAAATACAGCATGGAGGCATAAGATTTGTATTTTTTTTTACTACAGGTACTTGGAGAGTACAGTAGTGCGCTCCCATCATAAAACGGATGAAATAACTCAGGCTCTCAAGCTGTTGAGCATCAAGGCCGAAAAGCTGTATAGAAAAGTTCAGCCAGTGCTTTTAATCCTGGGTCAGTCTGCATTTGCAGAGGTCCATTTCTGCATAAGTGAGCACAAACTTCAGTGCCTGTTCAAACAGTTTCTCTCTCTCTCTCTCCTTCTCTTTGTCTCTCCCTCTCAGGCAGCTCATGACAACGGCCCAGCAGCACTGTTTGATCTCCAGTGTTTTCCTTAATCTGGGTTGTCAAGGTTCGCTTGTTGAAGGCTGTTTACTTTACTTCTAAAAAAAAAAAAAAAAAAAAAGCATTCTTTTTTTTTTTCTCGTCTTCTCTTTCCCTCAGACAATGACTAATCCAATGCTGGGTGCTAAAGCTGCTGCTTTCCCATTTAAAAGTGTTATTTGAAAAGACGTTTAAAAGTTACATTTATGAGAATCAATGAGGGGGGGGGGGTAATGGTAAATAATACAATTAATGATTAGTAATTTCAGTTTATGCCCTTTAATAATAATAACAATAATACACAAACCAATGCAAAAAGCAACATTTCTTATTCCTTTCCACTTTCAAAAAAAAAATCTGCACTTTCTGATTTACATCTGGATCCATTGAATATGTGTGCAAACAGATAAATAATATAAAATATGTAAAATAATTGCGAGTATGAGTATGTACAAATGTTCTGTTTATTTAATGTGTGAATGTTTAAACAACAGAATAATTATAATATTTTAAATATATATTTAGTATAAAAAAAACAAGATAGTGGGACCAAATATAGTATTGTGTGAAGAATATTTCAGGCTAATTATAAATATAAATTTAAACTGACATTCTACTAAACGAAAAGAGCTACTTTTATTGTGTTGAAGTGCAAGACAGCTGCATACAATTTAAAAGTTTATTTCCTCCACTTTTTCAAACATTTGATAGACTTTTATTAAGTAGCCTAAATGTAGGCTATTTATCCACCGGTTGTATGGTTCACATTCAGAAAGTACGAGCTAAGGCACATTTATCTCTGACACTTGTTTCAACACAGTGATGTTGAAAACCAATTTTACTCGAGCTGCACTTCGGCTGTGTCTCCATTTCAAACCCGGAGACAAGACAGCGTTTATGGAACTCTCAGGGGCGTTCATAACCCATATGATGCTCAAAATGCTGTCTAACTAGGCAACTCACTAGGTTTTGAAACACAGCCTGCTCTTGCTGAACACTTAATTCTGAACGCTTCTGCTCTCAACTGCATAACCCAACCGGATGATAAGTACTGCACTGAACTTTTTTTTAATGCACGGGAGAAACTGTCGCGATATTCTCAACAGATTTCGTTTGCACTGTTAATGTTATATTTAACTCCAAACGAAGAGATGCACCAGTAGAAGTTTGTTTGTGGTTGAGGGAACACGTGGGGAAAAGCCCCCTATACAACACTGAACACCGAAAGAAATCTCGGCTCGCAAACTTTTACGCCATGGATAGCAACGAATCGCGATTTCAATAACTTAACGTTACTTTGTTTTTACGCATCACGTCACACCAGAGCTGTCACACATGTTGTTTACACAAACAAAAAATGAACAGCGTAACTTGCTAGCTAAAGAGCTAACTTCTGAAAAGTACTTAAGACTACAAATAAAATGCATCGCCCGGACAGCAGTTATTATACACGCGAACAATAATGTTGTTTGCTCATTACGCCAATATTGCTTAAAAACAATAAGGCAACAATAAGATAACAAAGACAAACTGTGTCCATATTGTGCCCTAAAATGTTGCAGAATGCAGGAGGTGAATGAACTTACCGGGGTTTGACAGGGACGAGATAGACACGGAAATTTGTGAACGATAACAAATTCAACTCTTCACGAGATCTTGTATACCATGAGCGCGTGCTATAAAACGCACTGTAAATAACCAACAAATATCACTCCGCCAGCGGTACTAACTTCAGCTGCAAACACTGGACTGGGAGCAACGCTGCAGTTTCGAGCCCGTTTCACGCCGCCTTTCTACACGGAGCTGCTTCGGATGTTATTACAGTTTATTGCGCCTTGCACACACACAGAAAAGAGAGAGAATCGCGGATTTGGATGTTGTTATTTTTTGATGTTCTACGCCCGTGACGTCATATCCACATCCACCTGCTGTAAACAACATTCATTGCAGATCTTTGCGCTGCAAAACAAAAGTGTGTCAAAAAGTCAGAGATATGCTACGTGAGTTGCATAGAAGATAGGATAACATTTTTTCACGGTCGACATAACTTAATTCTAATAAATTTAGCTTGCTATAGTTTGGTAATTGCAACTGCTTTCTGTCTTCTTTTCCTCGAAATTGTCCAGTGAAGCAAGGGGGGGTGAAAGTTCAGGAGAAGGACAACCCATAAGAAGGGAAGTGCAGAGTGTGGGGATTTAATAGTCTAAATATCAGCATACTTCATTAGAGTCTATATACTCAGTGGTTATAACCAGATTTAGGCGTAACTAAATTCACAATTCACAGAACATTATAGGCTACTATATAACAATATTCACTTAAGTTTCCTGGAACTAATGAATAGAGGTAGCACAAAATATTTTATATTAAAATGCAAATACATGTATAAGGGTATAATATGTATAAACTGCAACACAAAATATACATAAATTATATATAGCTGATATGAAATACTAATATATATATATATATATATATACCCAAAAGTATATCATATCAGATACTCACAAATACATTTCAAGAGGAATCCCAAAAGTGAGCAGGGAACAGAGTTATTGTAGGTGTGAAGTATACCTATAACTTATAGAATTTGATAACTCGTTAAAAAAAATGTTTTAAAAAAAGAGGGAAAAGTAGGCTATAATCATTGGTCAGTTCTGTAGGCCGGTTAGCATTCAGTGTGAGCAGCATTAATCTGAGATCTTGGAATAAGGGAGAGGTCTGACTGTCCTTGATCAAGGACTGAAATGCACAGTAATTTTTGAAAGAAGCTTAATGTTGTTTTATGGGCCCAAGTTGATGTGTTTCGCGGATATAGAGCGCCACCCTCTGGAATATTGTGTTTCCTTGCAGACACCTGGAGCTAAATTTATAGTTTTGTCATAAAATAAATGCATAGGGAAACATTGCTTGCTAGAAATAAAAAGAATATTAGTAGTGAAAGTATAGTTAATTTCAGTTAATTAAGAGTGGAAAGCGAGTTCAAATTATTTTTGTCAAAATTTTTATTTATATCATAAAATAATTGATCCAGTGAATTAAGTAATCTGGAACTTTTTTTTCTTGCACTTTTAAATTCTGATATTTACTGTGATCGTCTCCCCAGCACTTCAAACCAATAAAAAGACTTAAATCACTTGATAAGCCAATTAGAATGGCAATGTTATTTTTATTATAGTTTTATTAATATTTTGAATTAGCTTTTAGTTTTATATTTTATCATTCCTGTTCATTTTAATTACATATTTAGAAATTGTATGTGCTTTTGTTATTCTATTCATTTCATAACATTGCTATTTACTGTAGAGTTATTTATTTATCTCAGTTTTAGTTTTGATTTATTTCAGTTAATAATTTTAGTGCTTCAACTTAAACTTACATCAGTTTATTGCCACGGAAACATTTCTAATTTTCATTTTCATTTAGTTTAAGTTTTTCAAATAATATTTTTATTTTATTTTATTTTAGCTTTGTTTCAATTAACAGAAATGCTTTTTTATATATATATATATATATATATATATATATATATATATATATAGTTTTAGTTAACGATAATAAATAACCCTGTAGCAAAACATGTATATCCCAGAGCTACCTTTATTTCTCAGATATATTTTAAAATCTATTTTATTAAATTGATTGTTGGAATAACATTTCTTGTCATCTGAAGAATTCTCCAAAAATCCTTGTACCTCATAAACACTGTTTTGACATTTGCAGAGCACAAGAAGATGCATTACAATGTTTTGTCCCAGGACATTTTACTAACGGTATGAAATCTAATGTCAAGGGGCGTCACTGGCCTATATTCTTATCCAGAGAAACTGCACGCCTGCAGGCATGAGACGGATACATCCATCACAGACACACCCTTCATGGAGAAATACGCCATTTTGACTTATTTTTCTACTTTGTGTCCACTGTCAGTAACAAAGAATACTTTCAAAAAAAGAGACAGACATCTTCTGACATACAAAAAAACAAAACAAAAAAAAACATTAAAAGATAAAGATATGTACCTGTCAAAAGTTTGGAAACATAAAAAAAAATACTTTTGAAAGAAGTCTCTTACGCTCACCAAGGCTGCATTTATTAACCAAAAATACAGCAAAAACAGTCAAATTATGAACTATTATTACATTTTTACTTTAATATACTTAAAAAATGTCATTTATTCCTGTGATGCAAAGCTGAATTTTCAGCATCATTTCTCCAGTCTTCAGTGTCACATGATCCTTCAGAAATCATTCTAATATGCTGATTTGGTGCTAGAGAAAATGTATTATTACCATCAATGTTTTATTTCTAATAACAATTTTTTAGAAATGTTTCTTGAGCAGCAAACCAGAATGATTATATTAGAATATATATAAAAATATGTTTCAAACCAGTATGCACACGAGACAGGAAATACATCTAAGCCCTTTTTAATGATTATCCAAATTATTTAGTTCAAATAGATTTTTTTTAAATGCATCAGCGTTTTGTAGGTATTTGTTGCTTTTGTATAAAAAGTTATTTAATTTCATTAACTTAGTACAGTCATGAATGCATGGACTCACTATTACTGATGACACAACACTATAAAATAACACAGATTATATTGTATTTGTACACCTTTTACAGTATATAGTAAATAACATACCCCATTAAGGTTAAAAGGTCACCACTATAATAAAACACAACTTTAATACATATTCCAGATGTTTCCAGAAAAATCCAGGCTGTTTTCTCAAGACTGACGTGTTGTAGGGTGTTTCCCAAAACGAAAATAAAAGTAGGCCTATTTTGTTTGGAACGTATTGACATCATGCAGATTTGGCATGACTGATGCCCTTGTGGATTCGGTCTTGTTGTGATAAAGTGGCACTCTAAAACAAATTAATTGAGGATTACTATACGTGGTGTTACATCTTCTCAATATGCACTCATGCTCAAAACGGCAGTAATTAGACTTGTGTTAATTAGGTAATTAAGCAAATGAAACGAGAGGACTCTGTTCTTCTTAAGGCTCGCATGCGTTATCCGTCCCCGAGACACAAAGGAACAATAGCTGATATTTGCCTATTGTAGAAAAAAACAAAGAGCCCTTTATCTCCTTCTGACATGACACAGGTAGGACAATTTCACATATTTTCACTACTGACCTTTGAACAATAAGATGACTTTATTATTATTATCTATACTTAATAAGAATGCAGAGCATAAAAATAGCATTCCTGTTAGCATGCTAAGTTAATAGCAATGGAAACCACAAATATATAAAAAAATACACCTAAAATCTAATTGAAAGTATTTAATTCTCAATCATATTGACATTTAACGGAATGAATGACAATATAATTTAACATTACACAGAAAAGAGTTGTATTGTACCCACAACAAACAACATTTTTGGTCAAAATGTATATGTAGCTATATAAGGGGAAATGTTTTTTATACTGTAACCAGTTATTTATTTAATTATTTATTTAGATGAACTGCCCAAAGATGTCACGTTCATTCCGACAAAGACCACAAGGTGGAGCCAAAATCAAATAAATAAATAAAACCTGTGACGACAACAGTGAAGGAAAACATATAACCACCACATAATGACTACATTTAAGTCTGTCTTTGTTGTTGTTGTTTTTGTAAATGTGTTCACATAGCCTACACGTAGCCTATCATTTGTGACTGAATCCTTTCATTTATTCATTAAACCCCATCTTCTGCTGAGACTGACTTCACTTTTCACCTTTATCTTTGGAGTCTCAAGGTTCTGGGGTGGGGCATTTTTTCCAAACAAAATTATTACATTTATCTTGCCTAAATGTTTGCGCTCATTGCATTTTTACAATGGGGTAATATTGTTGTTAAGAGTTTACACAACACAAGGAAGCTTGATTTAAATTGTTTAATTAAATTGAAAAAAGTAGCACAAATAAATACAATAGAATAAAGATACAATAAAGACAATTAAAGAGAAAAGTTTTTCAATGGGTCTAACACTAGTATTCATATACAGACACTGAATAAAGTAATCAGATGGAAAATAACACTGGGTAGTATTTTAGTCCTGAATAAATTAAATACATAGGCTATTAATCCTGATTCCTTTAACTTAAAGCTATATTTTGTTGGTTTGACACATATGGCTGCCGTCACTTTAAGAGCTAGTGCACGGATCCTGTGTTCATTATACTGGCATGCGTTTTATGCTTATTAAAGACAAAAGCGACTATGTTTAGAGTATACTCACGAAGACCGAAATTGACAATTTTACGTGTTAAAGCAATATAATCCGTGAAAAATAACTTTTGTTACTGGCCAGCTGTTTTTGAGGTGGATTTTCTATGAATGCGAATAGAAAATCATCTCAGAGAGCGTGCGAGCACTGATTAGTTTAAAATAGCTTGAATGTTTAAACTGGTAAGACTTAAAAAGACGTGCAAATGGTAAACTTCAGTCACGATGCACTGCTGGGCCGATTGTGCAAGTGAATATTCCGTCATGTCCCGACTCCTAAACGCGAGTGTGTATTATCGCCGCAGCGCTTGATGCTTGCCTTGCACAACACATTTTGAGAGAAGAGATAGAAGACGCGGCACCGCTGAACACTTACGCTGTTTGTGAAATTGCGTCTGGCAGAGAGTTGTTAAAAGAATGATTTGATTTTATAATCTGTGTGGATTACGATTGCGGGAACTTCCCGCATTATAAATGGGAGACCTGCGGGAATGATTAGAATTATGCGCAATACCCACGCCGAAATTCGAGCCCTGTATATATTTTAAAAAAATTATTTATAAATGAATTTCACTGTATATAGTCTAAAGTATGAAAGAAATGTATGTACATTTTTAGAATAACTAATTTATATATTAAACACAACAATACGCCATCGCATTCGCGACTCTCCTATGAT